CAGAAAGGGGGGAAGAGGAGATGGAGTTTGGACTTGGGACTTGAAGAATGGGACCTCGGGGACGCGAATGCCGGAGCCCAGGAGAAGCTGGGCTCCCGAGGGGGGAGAGGGGGTTCCAGGCCTGGGGGAGGGTCCCCGAGGAGGAGGGGCTGGTGGAGGCGGGGCGGGCGTGTAGGGGACAAGGAATTGGGACGAGGAAGGAGGCGGGCTTAAAGGGAAAGCAGGGAGGGTGAGGATGGGCCAGGCCCCAGAGGGCGACGGGCAGCGGTCACTACCTGGACGGGGCGGCTGGGCGTCAGGGTTGACGGTGCCTGTGTCCAGGCTGAGACCCCGGGAGGGAGCGGGGGGCCACGGCGTGGGGGGCGGCAGGCCTGTGTCAGGCTCCAGCCGGAGTCCCCCAGGAGGCTGAGTGGGGGTGGGGCTGCGCGTGCTGGGGCAGGGGTGCCCGACTCCAGGGCTTCTACTGGGGCGGGGCAGAATCCGGAGCGGCAAGGATTCTGGTTAAGAAAGGTGGAGTCTCGGGTCTCGGTAACCAGTTCGGGAGTGCAGGAAGATGGCTCGTGGGTGCTGGGGGGGTGGAGGGCTGTGGTGAGCGGGCGCCTGCATTCCGTGGAGTGGTCGTGCGGTTCTTCTGGGGGGGCGTGGGACTGTGGACAGAGGGCTTGGAGTCCTTGAGGTGCAGTTGGAGTGTTCCGCTTTCCCACTGGACTGCGGGAGGCCACAGCCAGGAACTGGGGTGTCCTGGGTGGACGTCCGGGTCAGGGCGTCTGTTTTTCACGTTGGTTGTTGGATGGGGTCTTGGTGGGAAGGCATAGCCTGAGTCTGGCAGCCATGTGCCAGGGCCGGGGCCAGCTTCCCTTACTGGGATGTTGGGGTTCAGAGCGCTGGTTCCTCAGCACTGTGCAGGCTGAGGGCTCTTGTTTGACCTGGGAGCTCTGATCGAGATGCCGGGCTGGAGGGTCCCAGCTTGGCGTTTGGCATCTAGAGTCTAGTCAAGGGCCTGGTTCTTGTGCTCTGGGCTCCAGCCGCCTGCCGGAGTTCCAGCAGCCCAGGGCCAGGGGCCTGCCTGGATCTCCAAGGGCTCTGGAATAGTGTCTCTCAGCCGTGGGCTGTGACCTCAGACTGGGCTTCCGAATGAGGTCAAGGCACAGGATCAAGTTCTCAGTGTTAGAACTGGGTGTTGGGGTCAAGAGTTTAAGAGTTAAAGTCTAAGAGTTTAAGCTTAGGTGGGATCTGAGGTCAAGGGTCCGAGACCGGGGTGTGGGGGTAGGGGTCCTTGCTTAGGGGCCCCCTGTGGGGACTCTGTGGTACGGTTCGGAGACAGGGTTGGAGGAGAGATGGCAGGGCAGCAGGGTGTGGACGGCCACCTGCACCTCATTTGCACGGTTCAAGCCCCGTGTCCAGCCTCTGATCTACGCCCAGCTCAGAGCTGACGCGGTGGGGCTCCTGCTCACAATTAGGGGCTTTGAAGGGGGTTCGGGGATACCAGGTCCCAGGGTTGACGTCGCTGATCTGTATAACCGTTTCTGAGTCACCGTCCCAAGCTCAAGGTTAGGGACTGTGGTGGAATCTGATTTGTGAAGGTTAGGGTCACAGGCCAGGGCACAAGGTTAGGTTGGACGGGGCTGATTCTGGTATCGGGATTCTGGAATTAGAATTTCTAGTCAGAGTCATGATATTTGGGGGCCAAGATTCAGTCTCTGGGGCCAGGCGGTGGCGTGGCGGTCAAGGACCCACATGGCTAACTATACAGTTTGCATTCCAGACCCGGTAGCTTAAAAAATTTGCTGGGCATGTGCGCGTGTGTGTCCAAAATCCCAAGAGAATGGAGGAGAAGGGACTGTGGTGTGGCCATCCTCCCTGGGGGGGTGGGGATTTCTCACTTTCCCTCTCTCTGTCTCTCTCTCTTGGGGGAGTGTATGTGCCCTATAGCAAAAAAAAATAAAAAAGTTTAATCTCTGGATCTGGGCAGAAGGCTGTGGTTGGAGATCTTACTCAGGGGTGTGCAGGTTGCAGGACTGGGAAGCCTGGTCCCGAGTGGGAGGGGGCTGATCTGGAGTCTGGTCAGAGTCCAGGGTTGAGGTCATGGGTCAAGACAGGTCGGCTCTGAGACACTGGCCCTGGAGTTGGTGCCTTTGGTCAGGGTCAGCGTCACGGGTTGCTGCCTGGGGCTGGGGACTCTGGCAGGCCCGTGGGGTTCTCTACCACACTGTGTCCCCCACAGGCCCCGCAGGGCGCCCCCCGCCGCTGAGGATGAGTCACTGCAGCAGCCGCGCCCTTACCCTGCTGAGCAGCGTGTTCGGGGCGTGCGGCCTGCTGCTGGTGGGCATCGCGGTCAGCACGGACTACTGGCTGTACATGGAGGAGGGCACGGTGCTGCCGCAGAACCAGACCACCGAGGTCAAGATGGCGCTGCACGCCGGCCTCTGGCGAGTCTGCTTCTTTGCAGGTACGGCCCTCACCGCCGCCTCTCAGCCTGCCCGGCCGGGGCCTCGCGCACAGCTTCATTCTCTTCTCTCTGGAGGTTTCTGCCAGGAGCCCCAGGGTGCAGCCCCTCACTCCCTTTGGACAGTTCCAGGATGGACTAGGGTGGAAAACATAATTCAGGACTCCCAGGACCTCCCCTTCCATTTAGGACCCTGGCCCCCCAGACCTTACCCTTCTAAGAGACCAGAGTCCCGTCCACAGAACGCCTTCCGCTTAGACCCGGGGTCCCAGCCCCGTCCTCACCGTGCAGTGGTCTTTGGGGCAGCTCTCCAGAGGCGCTCCCAGCCCTTCCCCGCCCACATGTGGGCTGGGCCGGGGTCCCCATCCCGGCGTCTCCCTGTCGTCCTGCCCCAGGGCCTCTCTAGACCTTAGGACACTCACCCCACCTTTTGATCTGCCCCAGGTCGGGAGAAGGGTCGCTGCGTGGCCTCGGAGTACTTCCTTGAACCAGAGATCAACTTGGTGACGGAAAACACGGAGAACATTCTGAGTGAGGGGATGCGAGGGGGTCCAGGCGGCAAGGGAGCAGTCACAGCGTGGGTCCTGGGGACAGGGCAGGACCAGGGTGGGGTGGGGTCCAGGGCAGTCGTGCACGCTGGGAAGAAGGCAGAGCCAGAGTAAGGCGAAGGGGCGGGGCAGCGGGAGGAGTCGGCAGGAAAGGGGCGGGGTCTGCCGAGAGGCGTGGGAGGAGGGGGAGGGGCCACGGGGCTGGGCCGGTGGCAGGGGACAGGGAAGAGGTCCGGGGGTGGGGTGTTCCACCCGTGATGTGCCCCTCACCCCGCCCCTCCTGTGCCCTTCCCCAGAGACGGTGCGCACCGCCACTCCCTTCCCCATGGTCAGTCTCTTCCTCGTGTTCACCGCCTTCGTCATCAGCAACATCGGCCACATCCGCCCGCAGAGGACCATTCTGGCCTTCGTTTCCGGCATCTTCTTCATCCTGTCGGGTGAGCCCAAGTGAAGGTCTCGTGGGCTGGGGCTGCTCCAGGTTCCAGGAGGCTCGCTCTCTCTTTGGCTTAGGAAGTCCGCCCGTGCTGTGTGACCTGGGGAGCGTTGCAGAACCTCTCTGAGCGCCGCTTTCCTCCCCGAGAAGCAGAGCTGGCCAGTCCACCGCACCGCGGGCTTTCCTTAGCAGGTCCAGCCAGTGCTTGCTGTGCTGGTCTGGTCGGTGCCGGTGCCGGTGCCGGTGCCGGTGCCGGTGCCGGTGCCGCTCGGGTCTGAGGCTCGGTACCCTGTGGGGCGGTGCCGGTCACGGCGCCTGGGCCCTGGGAAGCGCTCGGGATGGAGTCACCTGCCCTGCCGGCCACTGGCACACGCAGAGCCGGGAAGCACTCACGCGGCTCGCCCCCGGGGCTGTATTTTTAACCACCGCTGATATTTTAGCGATGAACCGTTTACAAGGCTCTTTGTCTTCTGTGAAACATTTTATTCTAAATTTTGTCAAACAGAGAAGAATGTTGCGGTGCATGCTCATTCGAGGAGACTTTAAAATGTCCCTGGAAGAGGAATTAATGCCGAGTCTGCTTTCGTTTTTTTTTTTTTTTAGGGATTTTGCCATAGGGGGTGTGTGTTTGCTGGAGAGACAGAGGGAGAAAAACAAAGTGAGAGATCCCCCCACCCCCATGGCTACGTTGTAATCCCTGCTCCTTCATTCTCCTCTCAGTGTTTTGGACACGCAGGAACATGTGCCCAGTGTGATTTTAAGCCACTCAGTCCAGGACTCAAACCATGGTTGGCCAAGTGAGAGTCTGGTGCCTTCACCACCACACCACCTGATGGCCCCAAGCCAGTCTGTTTTGGTGTGGAAAATTGTCAAAGTCACGCATAGTTCTTCTCATAATGTACACTTTTTAAGTTTTAAAAAATTATTTAATTTTATTTATTATTAGTAGTAGTTGCATTCAATTTAAACAGAGAGAGACAGAGACAGAGAGAGAGGGAGAGCGAGGAAGCAAGCCGCCAGTTTTGGGATTTGAACCATAGTTGTCCATGTGGGAGTCCAGCACCTTAACCACCACGCCAGCTGCTGGCCCCTTCCATGAACTTTTTGAGGACGCTCGTACCCCTCACTCAGAGCCCGCCATCCCCGTATGTCTATACTGCACTGTCCGGCAGCCCGTCTCCCTTTCTAGCCATCCTGCAATCCGCTTCCTCTCTGGACGTATGTCCAAGTCGGTTTCAGGCCCAGCACGCTGCTCCAGCTGCGCCGGTGGCCAGACGCGAGTTGCGTACAGTCCCTCCTTCCTGCCGCTGCGGCGCAAGGCTCTTTTGCATGCGTGATCTCACACCCACCTGGTGACAGCTCTACCTGGGGTTATCACACTGGCTGACAGGGCGGGCGGCCGGGACTGTTGGGGGTTGCCGGGGTACCAGCATCCGCTGGAGCCGGGGGACCAGCGCGCAGAGTTCCGGGGTGGAGTTCTTTTCAGCCCAGTTCACCGCAGCCAGGCCGACTCCGCTCAGCTCAGACCGCTCAGTGCAAACTCATCCCTCCAGGCCATCCTGACTCAGTTCTCCCACTCAGTCCAGGCTAGCTCCCGGCTAATTACGCGCACATCAAGCCCTTGTCATTCAAGCCCTTGTCATTCGGGTGCTGTTTCCTGAACAAACCCTGCTGCTGTCTCACCTCCATTTGGTCCCCAGAACGTGCCCTCCGCTTGCGCTCGCTCGCTCTCACGCTCGCTCTCGCTCTCACGCTCGCTCTCGCTCTCGCTCTCACGCTCACTCTCGCTCTCACGCTCGCTCTCGCTCTCATGCCCGCTCTCGCTCTCACTCTCACTCTCATGCCCGCTCTCGCTCTCACTCTCACTCTCATGTTCGCTCTCACACTTGCTCTTTCTCACGCTCACTCTCACGCTCGCTCTCACGCTCTCTCACCCTTGCTCTCATGGTCGCTCTCACACTCGCTCTCTCTCACGCTCACTCTCACGCTCACTCTCGCTCTCACGGTCGCTCTCGCTCTCATTCTCATGTTCGCTCTCACACTCGCTCTCTCTCACGCTCACTCACACTCACTCTCACGCTCGCTCTCACTCTCATGCTCGCTCTAACGGTCGCTCTCACTCTCATGCTCGCTCTCACTCTCACTCTCTCGCTCGCACTCGCTCTCACGTTCTCTCTCATGCTTGCGCTCGCTCTCACTCTCTGATGCTCACGCTCTCACGCTCTCGCTCTCACGCTCGCTTTCGTGCTCGCTCTCGCTCTCACGCTTGCTCTCATGCTCTCTCGCTCTCACACTCGCTCTCGCTCTCACGCTCGCTCTCACGCTCGCTCTCGCACTCGCGCTCACACTCGCTCTCGCTCTCGTGCTCTCTCACGCTCTCTCGCTCTCATGCTCTCTCGCTCTCACACTTGCTCTCACACTCGCTCTCGCTCTCGCGCTCTCTCATGCTCGCTCTCGCACTCTCTCTTGTGCTCACTTTTGCTCTCTCGCTCTCGCTCTTGCTCTCGCGCTCTCGCTCACACTCGCTCTCGCTCTCGTGCTCTCTCACGCTCTCTCGCTCTCATGCTCTCTCGCTCTCACACTTGCTCTCACACTCGCTCTCGCTCTCGCGCTCTCTCATGCTCGCTCTCGCACTCTCTCTTGTGCTCACTTTTGCTCTCTCGCTCTCGCTCTTGCTCTCGCGCTCTCTCTCACGCTCGCTCTCACTCTCGTGCTCTCTCACGCTCTCTCGCTCTCGTGCTCGCTCTCGCTCTCACGCTTGCTCTCACGCTTGCTCTCATGCTCTCTCGCTCTCACACTCGCTCTCGCGCTCTCTCACGTTCGCTCTCGCGCTCTCTCTCGCGCTCGCTCTCACGCTCGCTCTCACACTCGCTCTTGCTCTCACGCTCGCTCTCGCACTCGCGCTCACACTCGCTCTCACATTCGCTCTCACACTCGCTCTCACGCTTGCTCTCATGCTCTCTCGCTCTCACACTAGCTCTCACACTCGCTCTCGCGCTCTCTCACGCTCGCTCTTGCACTCTCTCTTGTGCTCACTCTTGCTCTCACGCGCTCTCGCTCTCACGCTCGCTCTCGTGCTCGCTCTCGCTCTCACGCTCGCTCTCATGCTTGCTCTCATGCTCTCTCGCTCTCACACTCACTCTCGCTCTCACGCTCGCTCTCGCACTCGCGCTCACACTCGCTCTTGCGCTCTCTCACGCTCTCTCGCTCTCGTGCTCGCTCTCGCTCTCACACTCGCTCTCATGCTCTCTCGCTCTCACACTCGCTCTCGCGCTCTCTCACGCTCGCTCTTGCACTCTCTCTTGTGCTCGCTTTTGCTCTCTCGCTCTCGCTCTCGCGCTCTCTCTCATGCTCGCTCTCACACTCGCTCTCACTCTCGCGCTCTCTCACGCTCTCTCGCTCTCACGCTCGCTCTCACGCTCTCTTGCTCTCACACTCGCTCTCACTCTCTCGCTCTCACACTCGCTCTCGCTCTCATGCTCTCTTGCTCTCACACTCGCTCTCACTCTCGCACTCTCTCATGCTCGCTCTCGCTCTCACACTCGCTCTCACTCTCGCTCTCACGCTCACTCTCACGCTCTCTTGCTCTCACACTCGCTCTCACTCTCTCGCTCTCACACTCGCTCTCGCTCTCGCGCTCTCACGCTCGCTCTTGCACTCTCTCTTGTGCTCGCTTTTGCTCTCACGCTCTCGCTCTCGCGCTCGTTCTCATGCTCGCTCTCACACTCGCTCTCGCTCTCACGCTCGCTCTCGCTCTCACGCTCACACTTGCTCTCGTCGGCCGGCTATGCAGCTGCTTGGAGCAAGTCTTCAGCTCGTCCCTTCTCCGTCCCAGCTGCTGCTCACCCCGCCTCCTCCAGGCTAAGCCACCCCCGTGACTTCATCCTACCCGACAAGACCTTTTCCAAGGAAACGAGGGTGCGACCTTTGTTTAAACTCCAGTCATGGCTCGTGGGGCCAGACACAGCTAAAATAAGACGTGCAGACTGTCCGGAGCCTGAGTGTCCAAGCCGAACGGTCTCGGTGTCTTTCGGAGGGAAAAATAGTGGCCTAGGGGGGAAAGTGGGGTGAGCGTAGATAGCGGGGAGATCTGTGTTCAGCCCACCCAAGACATGACGAGGAAAGTCCCATTGTCTGCAGGTGACAGAAATAGCAGCAGGGGCTGAAGAGGTGACACACGGTGAATGGCAGAACTGGGATTAAGATTGAGGGCATTCTTTTTTAAAAAAGTGCTTTTTCCCACGAAGAGACAGAGGATCTCAGTAGGTTTCGTGCTGCAACCCACCCCGTCTCGGCCAGCCTGGGTCACAGGATGCGTGTGCCCACACACACGTGTGCACACCCACCACGTGCAGGGGGTTCTGGGACGTGATCACGTGTGTCCACTCACAGTACTGTTGCACCCGCCTGGCCCTGGACACCAAGGCACTCCGAGTCTAAAACCCACGCCCCTGTGACCGTGCAGGGACTGGCCGCCCGCGGTCGAGGCAGGGACCAATGGCGTGGTCAGGGCTGGCTGGAGAAATCTGGGAGAGTCGAACCCCACTGCCTGCCCCGAGTTCATTTCATGGACTTCTGGGGCCACCCCATGGCATCCTGTGCTCTCTTTCTTTCTTCTTTAAAGAATTATTTATTTAATTTCATTTATTCATTTGCTTATGTTAATTAGACCAGAGAGAGAGACAGAGAAAGAGAGAGAGGGAAAGTGAGAAAGCAAGCCATCAGGTCTGGGACTCAAACCGTGGTCGGCCATGTGGGAGTGTCAGCACCTTAGCCACCGTGCCACCTGCTGGTCCCCCATCGTGTGCTTTCAGGCTGGTGTGGTATATTGGCCAAAGGCATGAACGATGAATTTACAGGCCTGGGTTCAAATCCTACCACGGGATGGGCCAGGCCTGTGCTGGTGAAGTTGTCAGAGAGGCATATTTTAGGCTCGGGGAGCATGGGGCCTGGCTCGACCCCGCCGCGTCGTTGCCGCGTGACTAAGCTGTTAAGGTGCACCCA